CTCGGGCGCTCGGCCGCTCTGGAAGTGTTTCGTGCCGCAGTCCGGCTCGGAGCTGAGGAAGCAGGAGGAGGGGTTGTCGGGACGGGAGGGAGACCGCACGGTCCCTGCCGATTTCTCGGGGACGGGCACCCCCAGGCACAGTCTGAGTCTTCACCTCCACTGCCCATCTCAGCGGGGCGGCCGGGGTAAGTCTGGCGTTCGCCTCTCTTTGCGGCAAGCGGGCGGCGGAGGGTGGGCTGCGGAAGGTGCTCTGGCTCTGGTGGACCTGGTACCTTCACGGTGGGTTGTCCTGCAGGACCACCGACAACAGGAGCGTTTCAGAGCTCACCTGTGCGGAGGTGACGGCCTGAACCGTTAGCACCAAACCCTGCGGTCTCATCCTAAAATAATACAAATGAGAAATGAGGTGGCTGTTTTTAACCGAGCATCTCTAGCAGCTGGAATATCTTCCAAAGGAAGGGGGGGGACACCGCATTTCTCAGTGTCCTGACATCCGTCTGGATGTCTCACTGGCACAGTCGTTATCGTTAAGGCTTATTGGGCTGCGGTTGTTTTAGCCAGTCCCAGTTAACCGGAATCATTAAGGAAGGAAGCGTGCGTGGCCGGTGGTGGTAGGGGAACAGACTGAATGAGTTTATGGATTTGCACATCCCTCATTTCTCACCTGCCTCTGTTGCGTGGGAGTTGCTTTTCAGTGTCTTTTGGAAATCAGATGTAATTAAAGTTTGGCCCTTTGCCCAACTGCTGTGCATCTCTCGCCGAGAGAGGGAAAATGTGTTTGAGACGAGGCTGTTTGAAGGAACCTAGCCGAGTTTAGCTCCCCGGTCCTGCTCTCAGGCTCCTCCGCACGCAGCAGCTGGCGAGTCGGCATGGGCAGGTGCTGGCTCCCAGCAGAGCCTGGCTCCCTTCCTCGCCCCGCCGCTGACTCATCGCAGCTCCTCGGGCAAATCGTTTTGATTTAGGTACCAAATCCAGATCTAGCTACCTAATTTCTGTTAAAATGCTGGCCTTAAACCCGTGACTCACCGTGCCCATTGTGCCGCGGAGGTAATAACTTCCTCCCCGTGCTCGTCCGTCCAGCCCTACGCCGCACCCAGGCTCCTGCCGGGGAGGCAGCGGGGAAGGGGGAGAGGTGCTGGCTGCCTGCGGCGCTCCGGGCTCCCAGACTCCCAGGAACAGGTTTATTTATTTTTTTTCCCAGGCACAGAAGTGCCTGACAGCGCAGAGAGGTGATGCGGGAGGGATGCTGCGGTTCGGAGAGGTACGGAGGCGGCAGCGCAGAGAGGTCTCTCTGGCTTGCAGGTGGCTCCCAGCGCTGGTGTCCCCCGAGTCGGAGGCGGTGGGCAGCGATATCGGCAGGATGCAGCCCTCCCGGGATCGCAGCAGGGCACCTTGAAAATACCAATCTGTAACTCTGTTCGAGCCAGGGGTTGCTGGAGGTTGAATTACTCCTGCAGCAATCAGCATGTGGTAAACAGGAAGGCTGAGAGGAAGCTTTGCAGAAGCAGCAGCAGTACCCAGCTTCCCAGGCGAGCATTTGCTCCGTTTCTGATCACAGAATCACAGAATGTTCGGGGTTGGAAGGGACCTCTGGGCATCATCTAGTCCAACCCCCCTGCTGAAGCAGGGTCACCCAGGGCGGGCTGCCGATTTGAAATGAACATTGGAAAAATACTATGGCTAGAGCTAAAAAGGAGGATGAATGAAGCTGGCCAAAGCCTGCAAAGTGTGAACGAACGCGTTCTTGGTTGCATTGAGCTCACAGTTCTGCCAGCACGCAGTGCCACACCAGGAGCCTGGTGAAATGTGTAGAAGAAACTGCTAATAAAGTTAGTGCCGCGGTAGGGGAGAACTTATTCCAAATGTAAAATGGTCTGGTTCTGAGGTAATAGAAAGTAGCCTGATCCACGCTAAATGAATGGAGCTAAATCTCCGTTTATCATGTTCCAGGTGGTAGCTTTCTGTATTTTTCTCATCATCAGACCTTTTCAAGGAGCGCAGAGCCATTACAATAAAAAGCATCAACACAAACTGTAATATTAGACAAGCACACAACCATCCCCAAGCATCCAGGAGTAGTTCTGTGCTGCATTAAAAGCGAAAAATACAAAGAAGAGATGATTGTGCAGCCTGCTCTGGGTGACCCTGCTTCGGCAGGGGGTTGGACTGGGTGACCCACAGAGGTCCCTGCCAACCCCGACCATTCTGTGATTCTGTGAAATAGGTTGCTTATTCCAAGTCAAATGGTTAGAATATATTTTTTAACTATTGTGTCTTGAGGGACAAGGGAATGAGCTGCAGTTGATGGTTGAGTAGGGAGCAAGGTTGCACCGTTCTTGTTCCCCCCCTCAGCTGAGCAAGCCGGTTAGCTGTCAGCTTGATTTTCAGGGGGTGATGTGTTAGCTTCCAGGTGTTAATGTTCCAGGTGTTAATTTGTCCCCTCTTGCCTCCCCTCCAGGAGCGAGAAGGACCAAAGTGTTTGAAAGCCGTGTGACTCTGTGCCTGTTTGTCTGCAGAAGCTTCTGCGGGTGCTTTCAGGACCAGCCAGAGAGTCAGGGTCTCTTTGTGAGAATGAGAAAATACATAGAAAGGAAGGATTTAACTTTATTAGGAACTGAGGACAGTTGAAGAGAGCGGGAGGTCGTGCAGGTCTTGTGCAGAAAAGCCATCAAGCTGAAAACATGTTGGCTGACATAGCACAACCTCTGGGTTACAGTCACATCCGTTCTTTATCTTAGAAAGAGATTGGACATCAGTCGGTAGAGAACAAGTAAAAAGAGCAAAGAGCAATCTCAGTAGACAGTCCTGTGTGAGCAGGACACAAAAAATAGACAAGGAGACCTATGCCTCTAGATAAATGTTGTAAGGCTAAAAATATAGGTGGATGAATTAGAACGCTCAGCTTTAAATTAAAGTTTTGACATAAACTTTTCAGAAAACCGGTTTGAAAAAAAAAAAAAACAAAAACCACAGCAGTGGGGCCCTGTAATTCCCAGGTGAAATTACAGAGAGGAGAAGAGAGTGTCTCTTCTGGTGGCATGGGAGGGACGCTGTGCGTGAAGGAGAGTGTGAAGCCCAGTGACAAGCAACACAAAAATCCCCAGCTGCACCTGAGCAGGAGGAGTACGGTGTCTGGGTTAGAATACACTGCGTTAGCCCAGGCTGTGAAAGAGGAGCCTACATATACGTGAGAATCTTCTTCAAGTAACACTAAAAGCAGCAGTCAAAAGAATGGGATGCTTTTGGGCACGGGGATCCCTTAAAGCCCCAGCAAAGGGCAGCCAAGCAGCAGAGCAGAGACCGCAATTAGAAGGCAGAAGCCGTTCTTCCCGGGCGAAGGTCAG